TGAAATTAAGCTTATTGACCCAATAAGAAATGCCACTGCAATTTAACTTGACTGTTTTGTAAAATGTACTTAGTACTTTAGTAACCTGGGAGTTATATTTTATATTTAAACCATCTATAGTGTTTTATTGGTCTTTTTCTAAGGATATTGATCATAATCTTCAAGTAAATAATCATAATATATCAATATCTAAGCATTTAGCTCTATAACACTTTCATACTAAGGTTAATCATTAAAAAAGTTATGAAATGTGTGTTGGGGATGGGGACAAGGGTCACTAATGACATTTTCCCTATATTTTATTTTTGAAAAAAAATATAGCTTCAATACAAAGTGTGCTCTTAAGAAAGCAAAAGTTAAATAATTGAGAGAATAAATAATTTCAGTCAATAATATTTTTTTTCATGAAAGCTTATACATTTAGAGAGTTTCTTAATTATATTTAACATGCATTTAGACAGTCTCCCTTCCTAAAAACTGTCAACGAAATGCCTTAGTTAACATTTAAACTAATGTAAAGTAATATATAAAAATGTCTTCATGAATCAGTTTATTAAATAAATTACTAAAATTAAAAATAAATAAACATGAAGAATAATAATTTTTTAAGTAACGTTAATTCTTTAACCTCTTTTTTACATAAATTTTCTATGGAATATAAATGCATAATTATCCTAATATTTAATATACAACAGACTTTAATCGTGAACGTAAACGAAATACACTTATTTAAGGTGTTTTATATTCGAAGAATAAATACTCCCTCAGGAAAACTAAAACGAAAATGAGATAAGTTATCAGGCGATTGTTTAAGTTTATCTGAGCCATAGGTATTGATATTCAAATAAAATGGCATTAAGTTAAAATTTTAGACAAAGCTGTTAAGTAAAGAAAAGCAGTTTTTATCTCGATTAAATTATCATTTATTCTGTTGTATAGTTAATGATTTGTCGTGTGTATGGTCCCAACTCATAGTTTAGGTGATTTAATTCTAAGTTGTGAGTATTGATTTAAATTATTTTCTAGTTGCAGATGATAGCTTAACTTTAAATTTACTTTCTGAAAAATGTCGAGATTGAAATAAAATTACTTGCAAGTACAAATCGACGCGAAGCTGTCAGAAAAACAGTCTTGTCTTACACAATATAGTATATTGATTGATACAGCTTTGAACATTAATAAAGTCATCTATTCTAAGAATAAGCTTAGCATCTCTTCTCAATCATGTTTTTTCCAACGCAAAATTATTATTTTTTTTTTCATAAATTTACCTAAAAGTTTTCCCTATTGTTTTATTTTTAATCTAATATTTTAAAATTATGCTTTTTTAAATCGATGAATGCAAACTTTTTTATTTCCTTCTCTCGAACTACTGATGCATGAATATGTTTTTTTTTTTGTTTTTTTTTTTTTTTTTGTTTTTGTTATGCNTTTTTTTTTTTTTTGTTTCATACGAAAGTAAAATACATTTTTATCAGAGAAGAAATGAAGAGCGAATAATAATTAAATAGTTGAAACTTGATTTTCTTTACAATATTGAATCAATTTCGCTATAGCAATTATTTATGTAAAAAATATGCACGAAATTTTTCATGTGGATATATATCGTGCATGCTTTGATAGTTACATAAAAAGAACAAATTATCGGCGAAAGGAATTTCGGCCATTTCTCGACTAGCTAGAGTAATCAAATCTCTACTTCAGCTTTGTGTTAAATGAATCTTGTTCTAACCCCTACAAGCAAAACTTATCTCGATGTTATCGCCTTAGGAAATTGATTGTAAATTAAAATTTTGCCTACCTGGTATGCTTAAATCTTAATTAAAACTTTGCGCGTAGTGGTAATTCAAGTTTCAATCGTTTAGTGGCTGCTACTAGCAATCTATAATGTCTTTTTATAGCCAGTTTTTTTCTTTTTTAATCGGTGAAGTGAAATTTTAACTTCTTTTCACTAGTTTCGACTAGCTGGAGTACACAAATGTGGGTCTGATGAATACTGAGTATGTAGGGTACTTATAAATGAGTATTAGCCCCAGATTGGGTTTATATCCATAGAACGATTTTTATAACTTTTTGTCATTTTTAAAGCTCAAAACCATGATTTGTCTTCCTTGTGGTTTCTGGAAATATTTCTCATATTTTCAGTCAAATCAAATATATTAAATCAATTTAATTTTCGAAAATAAAGTTACAATTTAAAATATTTCAGTTTCATTTTTTGAAGAATTATTAAATGTCAGTTTTCTTAAAATCTAGGTAAAAACATGTAATATTTAAATGAAATATATTAGGTTTTTGCATAGAGTTAAACAATGCAATTTTACCTATGAAGAAAACAATTATTTCTCAGCATTAAAATTGCATGTTGAGTAGATTTTTTTCCCCACAGTGGAAGATGCTTCCCCAATCTTATTCATGACAAACATTCAAATATTTTGAAACATTCAACCACACATGTGTTGTATACCCCCATGAAATTTTAAACTAATATTAAGCTCTATTTTTATATCGATTAGTAATGATATGAAAATTCGAAAAATTAATAGCCAAATGAAATTGATAACATGTTCGGAATTATTAATATTCATCATCGCATCACAACTAAATGTATATCAGAAAAGAAATTACGTATTTAATCCTATACTAGAAAAGTTAAGAATAGCGAACTTTTTAAAATGAATTACTTAAAACCTGAATAAATATTGGCATTTCAAAAATATATTTCTGCCTAACTTTTTCTACATAAGTTGCTTATTTTGAAACCTCAATTATTGGGAGTAATGGAACAGAAACAGGGATATAAGGACAACTAAAACCCCAATCCCTTTCGAAAGAAAATAAAAACTACGATTTCAATTATTTTTATGTATCAACTATGTATTATCAATGTAAAACTTAATTGTGCCTATATATAATTTAATAAAACCCATAATAAAAATAGCCATTTCGTTTTCTATAAAATTCATAAATTTCCCTGGATGGGTTTTCATAATAGCCTATCTAGATATTAATGAATTTTGGGTAAATATCAAATGTTATAAAAACCGGGTTTTAAATAAACTTTAAAAAACTTATCGTGCATTATGATTTATAACATTGTAAACACCATCCTAGGTTTTTGACGGTTTTAAACTTTCAACCAATTTTTGACGAATTAAATTAAATTTTGACGGTCATCCTTTCAAAAACCCAACCCTGATTATGATTACAAAGATTTAAAAAAAATCTTCTATTTTTGGGCCGCATAATTTCGTTGTTGACAGTACAATTATGATTCATTTTTCGCTCAATTGTTTATCTTTTTTAAAAAAATTATAGTTGATGTTACTTAAGCTTTCAAATCGTGTTTCTTTTAACCAAAATAATGCCATATCAGCAAAAATTAATTTAAAAAAAAGTTATCTATGGAATGTCAATTGATTAGGGAAATTTTGATTCTGCGAAGTTTAATTTTTGGCAATTTCAGGTTTTAGTACCAATATATGTATAAACAAATGTTATTATTCTTATTAGTTATGTTATTTTTATTAATTACGTAATTATTCTTATTAATTATGTTATTATTCTTATTAATTAAGCTATTATTGTGAGTTGACCATCTATTTTTTTTTATTAAATCTAAAAGCCTCTGGAAAAGAAAACATCTAATGATGACAAATTATTTATTGCAGATCTAAATAAAAGAAATAGTTGCACTGTAAAAGTTCTGCTAAAATAATTATAAAATGTTCATGCTACTAATAAGTATGCATCCGGCAAAAAAAAGAAAAAGTAAGAACAGTGTATTTTTAAATTATTTAATCAAAACTACAAATCGCATCAATTTTGCTTTCAAGTTAAAGGTAAAATTTATAGAATTCTTAAAAAATTTCGAGCGCTATTTCTCCGTATCTAATTAACTGACCCTTTTATTTCCTCTCTTTTTTAAAAAGTATCGTGCTGTCGAATTATATCATCAAAAGTTATGATATAGTTTTGATGATATAGTTTTGTACTTAACTATATCATCAAAAGTTAAGTACAAAAAAAATATGAAAAACATACAAATTGAAATTTAACCAAAAATCCAAGATGGCGTGGGTAGAGACTTTAAATGAAGATCCACTTTCGTAGGAGTAAGACCGAATTAATTAAGCTGCTAGTCTATATTATAAAGAGTAAAAATCTACTCCTTCACTTTTATTTAAATGGTTTCTAGAAAGACTTAGATTAATTACGTAAACCGTGTTTTTATTGATTTTTTTCTCAAGAAAGTTGAGTGTTTATTTAATACTATTTATAAAATTTTAAAAACGCCTCAGCTTCTTAAAATATTCCCAAAAATAAAGATTTCAGTATGGTGGATAGTTAAAATAAATTTTTTCTTTCAAAATTAAGACTTTTAAGAAAAGAATGTTTTAAATATGCTAATTTTATACTTTGTTCGTATGACTTTTGTTAAATTATTTTTTTTATAATAAACTATTTTAAAAATATGTATTTATTTTAATAAACTATATTAGTCAAAAAAATTAATTTGTTGATAATATTCATGCAAGCTTTTTCATACATCTGTTTTAAATAACAATTTATTAATTATTACTAAAATTTTATAGTTATTGTTAAACTACATATTTTAAACTATTATTATAAAAGTAATTTTTTCTCAACATAATTTATTCTTATATCTTAAAGTATAAAAAAAAATTCTTTCATTTTCATAATTACAAAACTTTTAGTATTCCTTTATGTAATTTTTTATTTTCTTTATTTATTTATATTAACCCGCTAAGTGTTTCACCCGATGCAGAAGAGCTTGCTTAGCTGTAAGCTTTCCTGCATCAAAAACCAATTTCTCCATGTTATTTGGTAGTAGTGTCCAGAGCATGTAAATTTCCGTATAATTTTACCCAGAGGCTCAACGCTAGAAGTTATTTTTTCCAATAGTTAATTCGTAGAAACATTTTAATGTAACGTTAATGTTAATCTGTACGAGTGATTTCCTTAACTTATCTTTTTAGGCAATCATATCAGAACAGTGAATTGTACATCTCGCCAAAATTGAAGAATAGGAAGAAGTGTAAAATAAAATATGTAAAAAGTCACTTAAAACATAAATATCGGGATTACGAATCCGGACAAAGTCAGAGGTTTAAGTACGTAAACGTCTTTTTGGGTGTAATAACGAACTTGAATGCGAAAATGCCGAATAATAGAAATCGTTCTAGTAGAACACGTTCTGATAGAAAACGTTTGGCAGCCAATATATCTAATAAAGGGATAGTTCAGGAAAATAAATTTTCGCAAGATCGACAAGAAACGGAAGAAACCTGTCCTAAGAGTGATAGTAATCCAGATGGTACTTCAAAAGCAGGACGAAATATTCCGGGCGGAAATTCCGTAGACAAGTTTTGTGATTCCTTTCGAGTTGATTCCGGTAAAACCAATAATGTAATTACGCAACGTGATCAAAATAATGATTCTGTAGATAGATATGAAAATCCACCGGGAAAAACAAGTCCAACTACCAAAAAGAAAGGAAAGAAAACTAGGTGGATACTACTAGATACTTATGAATCTCTATTCTGCAACTCTGAAAATAGTCAACAAAATTTGAATCGAAACTTAGAAAGAAATAACAAGGATAACAACTTATGTACATTGTCCGAAACAATAACTTCAGCTGTAGAACAAGAGGATGAGTTTCAAATACGTAGTGAAAATGTTACTTGTTTTACATCACAGGAAGAGGCTAGTAAATCTGATGCACAATTTTATCCAAAACATGAAATAGAAGGAGAAAGAAAACATTCGGATGAACCGGAAGGAGATATAGTGACTGTGTTACATTTTAAAACTCGAAATATCCCAACAGGAAGAAATCACTTTTTCCCGGATGCTCATGAAATTCAGTTGGAGGAAAGACACACTCAATCTCCAAACGAGACTATGCATCTCCAGAATAATTTTGATCCTGTTTCGATGTGTGAAGTAGATGGGCAAATGACAAACGATAATAAATCTGAATCAACTTCGGAAACTAAAGGCATTGTCGATGAAACAGACGAACTCTCTTCAAATTGTGATGAGATTACATCTGCTGACTCTGTAAATAATCATTTCGTTATACCAGCAAATGAAAATATGAATTTGCAAGGTAATTTTGAACCTAATCATGTTTGCATGTCTAATGGGAAGGAGCTTACACAAAACACGGCAGCGAAAAAGGACGAATTTCTCACAAATGGTCAAAAGGTTAGTGATATTTTAAACGAATCAGTTGATGTATCAACAAGTGATTCTAAACATTCTAATGATAACTTCGATCTTAATTCTGTTTCCCTATCTGGAGCAGATGGCAACGAAACAAAAACTTATAAATGGGATACATTTTTTAAAACACAAGACAAGGAAGAAATATCAAACGAAATTCCCTCAAATGCTAATGAAATTCAATCAGATGTCAATCATATAGAAAATGGACCAGCAAATGTATTGCCATGTAAATATATGCATTTTACTGATAATTTTGGTCAAAATTCTGGTGCCCTTTCTGGAGTAGATAAGAAAAAAACTGAGACTGATAAATGTGATTTATCTTTGCAAAGACAAGGCATCGTTGTGGAAGCAAACGAACATTCCTCAAATGTAAAAGAAATACTATCGGCGGCCAATGACATGGAAAATGAAACAGTTAATGTATTTCCAAGTGGTTCTATACTTTCTAATGATAACACTGATCGAAATACTGGTGCCTTTCCAGAAGTAGGCAGAGACGAAACTAAGACTGATAAATGTGATTCATCTTTGCTTTCGCAGGGCATGGATACGGAGGCAAACGAATTTTCATCAAATGTTAATGAAATACAATCGGAAGTAAAAGACATAATAAGCGAAACAGTTACTGTATTGGCGAGTGATTCTTTACATTCTAATCATAATTTAGATCAAAATGTTGGTACAGTTTCTGAAGGAGGTAGGGGTGAAACTAAGACTGGTGATAAATGTGATTCATCTTTGCAAACATTAGACATGGTTGCGGAAACAAACGAACTTTCATCAAATGTTAATGAAAAGCAATCGGAAGTAAAGGAAACAGTTAGTGTATTGGGGAGTGATTCTTTACATTCTAATGATAATTTAGATCAAAATGTTGGTACAGTTTATGAAGGAGGTAGGGGTAAAACTAAGACTGGTGATAAATATGATTCATCTTTGCAAACATTAGACATGATTGAGGAAGCAAACGAACTTTCATCAAATGTTAATGAAATACAATCGGAAGTAAAAGACGTAGTAAAGGAAACAGTTAGGGTATTGGCGAGTGATTCTTTACATTCTAATCATAATTTAGATCAATATGTTGGTACAGTTTCTGAAGGAGGTAGGGGAGAAACTAAGACTGGTAATAAATGTGATTCATCTTTGCAAACATTAGACATGGTTGCGGAAACAAACGAACTTTCATCAAATGTTAATGAAAAGCAATCGGAAGTAGAGGAAACAATTAGTGTATTGGGGAGTGATTCTTTACATTCTAATGATAATTTAGATCAAAATGTTGGTACAGTTTTTGAAGGAGGTAGGGGTAAAACTAAGACTGGTAATAAATATGATTCATCTTTGCAAACAATAGACATGATTGAGGAAGCAAACGAACTTTCATCAAATGTTAATGAAATACAATCGGAGGCCAATGACATAGAAAAGGAACTAGTTAATGTATTGCCAAGTGGTCCTATACTTTCTAATGATAACATTGATCAAAATTCTGGAGCCTTTTCTGAAGAAGGCAGAGACGAAACTAAGACTGATAAATGTGATTCATCTTTGAAAACACAAGACATGGTTGTGGATGCTAACGAACTTACATCAAATGTGAATGAAATGCAATCGGAGATCAAAGACATGGAAAATATATATTCACACAATTTTGTGTCCACAGCTGGAGCACACGGAGAAAAGACAGAAAATGATAAATTAGAAGTACAAGGTGTAAAAGTACCAGAAAACGGTAATTCTTCATGTGGAGTTAACGGAAAAGAGAATACTGCTAAGTCGGGATTAATTTTGGAAAATGTTTCTTCTAATAGTTATGAAACTCATCTAGAGTCGAATCGAACTATGTATTCTGAAGATGATATCTACGATAAAGGTAAACTTTTATCATTTAAAAGAGATGAAAATTCAAGTCCGATTGGAAAATCTACACAAGCGATTTCATACCCCTCGACATCACAGTTAAAGAGACAAGATTCTTTTAGTTCAGAGAAAATTATATGTGAACCCAGTCAAATGTTCCCTCATTTACTTCTAAGTACCTTCCAAAATATTTTCGAAGAATATTTTTCTCAAAATTGTCGAATATTTCAAGAACAGCTGCTTAGGTCTACTCATCTTGAAAGGGAAAGTAACGATATTTCATCAAAAAGTGAACAAAATATTGTTTCTCATCCTGAATCTGATGTTGGAACATCAAATTTGCCTGCAATAAATTTAAAGGATGGCAGCCAACCATCATCATCCGAACTTCATGATAACACAATGAGTTCAGGGACTACGTATTCCAAAACAGAATTCCCCAATGGAGATCCGCGTAATGACCAAGAAGTCAAGAGCAAGGATTTGTCCGTAGAAAAACAGATTACACCTTCAAACAACCAATTGAATCTAGGTCCGAATATTGAGTCTGGTCATGCTTCTCCTTCGAGTTCACATGCTGTAAGATTTTCAGATAAATACTGCATGAAATTACCCGAATGTCCTGAGCCTTTTTCTAACTTTCTCCTTTGCCCATGCTGTATTGAACAATATGAGAATTTGAGAAAAAATCAAAATGTTGTTCATTTGTTTGATGGTTCTAAATTTATTTGTGATAGCTTCAGCAATACGACTTCGAAGACAAGCATAAGTAATGAACCCGGTACAGACGTAACAGAAAATATATTCGGTGCAATAAATGTTGAAATAGCACCATACTCTGATAAACAAGAGTCAGTTGAATCTAGTGGTGCCTTTTCAAGCGATGTGAAGTTAACTAATCCTAAATCAGACTCTGTAAATGGAATAATATATATGGAACCATTAATTTTGACAGAACGAAGCAAGCCAAAAAAATTAGAAATGGACTCAGTTGAAAAATTTAATCAGGATTCTATGCTGAATGAAAAGGTAATAAGTAGACATCGCGTTTGCAATGATATGAGCCTTAACTTAGATTCTTCTGCTTTATTAAAAAAAGGGGGTTCTGAAAATTCTATTTCATTAAATAAGGTATCTTCTGATACACTTCCATTAATTTTGACAGAACGAAGCAAGTCAAGTGAATTTGGAATGAACTCACTGGAAAGTATCAATCTGAATTCTATGAATAATGAAAGAGTAATATGTCAACATGACGGTAACAATGATTCGAGCTTTAACTCTGACTCTGCTTTACCGACTAACATAGTTTTTGAAAACTTGGATCTTTCTTTAAATAACGAAGGCTCTGAAAACTCATGTGTTACATCATTAAATAACGCAATTTTTGATGCTCTTCAATTACCATTACCTTTGAAAGAACGAAGCAAGTCAAGCGAATTTGGAAAGGACTCTGTTGAAAGTATCAATCTGAATTCTATAAGTAATGAAGGGGTAATAAGTCAACATGACGGTAACAATGAGTCGAGCTTTAACTCTGGTTCTGCTTTACCGACTAACGCAGTTCCTGAAAACGCGGGTTCTGATTTATTTGAAACTTTTGGTCATGCTTTATTTAATAAAACAGCTTCTAAAAATGATATAGTCATGCATAAAAATGCACCTCTTACAGATAATTTAGTCACAAAAAAAGAAAATGCAGGTAGAACATCACATGTAAGATGTCGATCAAAGTTTAGAAAAAGCGTAGCAAAGAGACCTTCAAAATGTATCTCTAGAAAATATTTATCTGCCAACTTAGAAGAAGTGTCAAATATTTCAGAAAAAAATGAATCCTTATTGGAGGAACGAGACACAGCAGCTAACGAGCCAAGCTTTAGTTTAAGTAGCACTATGAAGTCTCTAATTCGAAATGAAGTAGAAGTATCTGAAATAGTTGCTGAAGATAAGGCTTGTTCAAAAAATGAAATTGTGGATGCTATGGACAAAAAAGAAATGTTGGATTCCCATGGTACTACCGAAATGAAGTTCAGTTCAGTGTTAACTAATCAGGTCAGTACGATTGCTATTGATTTATTTATAAATAGAGTCCACAAACAAAATAAACGGATCCTCGCTTTTTATACTCTATCTTACTGTGGTAACCTCAAATATGTTAATTAAATAGCGTAGAATATATTTAAAATTACGAAATCAGACACAAAAACGCACTTTTTCCGAATAAACATACATTTTTTCGACGGATTCTTACGCACTAAAAATAGGTGGTTGCCGCAATCTAAGTATCGCTATCCAAAGATAATTCCATGAAGAAAAAAAACTTTTTAGTACATTTTCATTATTTTCTAAAATTTTATTAAATAATATTGGAGAAAAATTTTAAAGCATGTAATTTTTTTTACATTATTTTAAAAGAGTGTAATTTTTCTTGGCAAAATAAGACATTCAAACGAAATCGGATGAATTGTTCCTGAGAAATCAAATTTTATATATACGACTTTTTGAAATTTGATTTCTGAGAAACTTCGACCAATTTTGCCAAAATTTCGTATTTTACCATCTAAAATTGCATCTTTTAATGTAATGTAAAGATTGTGTATCTTACAATTCAAATTTTTTAAGACTTTAAATTTTGCTAAATGTTATTTGTTGCATTAAATTATCTTTTGTTAAAACAATTTTGTAATTGTATGCAGAAACTTCTCAAATAGCTATAAACTTATAACGAAATATGGCGAAATACGCAAAGAGTTAAATTAGCATTGCTCTCCTGACCAAACTGTAAAGACCAAATTACGGCTACCGATCAGTGATGGCTGAGGGGATAGAGCGTTCGTCTTCCAATGATGTTAACAGGTTTCGAATCCCAGTGATGGCTGGTCGATACGAGTTCCGCATTCGGTTTGCACCGACTACTGTGCTAACTAAAATATCTTCAGTGGTAGTCGGATTATGGGTTAGGCTAACCATCTTGTCGTCAGGCTAACCATGGGAGATTTTCGTGGTGGTCTGCAGTAATTAATTAGCAAAACTGGGGTCACCCCCTTAATCCTTTAAGATTGAGTCCTAAAACATAAAGATCCGATAATTAAATCAAAAGTTACTCAGATAGGTCCGTTTATTTTTTTGCGCACTGTACAATCGGCAAAATAACTATTTTTTTTTTCTATCTGAAGACAAATTTTTCACCTGCTAAATTAAAATATTATTGATTACAGGGTCATATTTAAAGTAGGTTAGCCTTTCAGTGCAAACTTTTAATTAAATTTTAAAATCGTTAAACAAAAACGCAAGGTAAGCAAATTAAAATCAGATACCTAAATAAGTTTTGATTTAATGATCGGATTTTTACTATATGGCATGCAATTTTCGTAGCTAGGGATCGATCCTAAATATGCTAAATAATGAAGCAAGGCAATATTATACGTTAAGAAATCGAACACAAAAATGTACTTTCACGCTTTTTTATTAACGTTGGACTTGTAACCTTTATAATAGATTGTAGTCAATCTAAAACAGTGGTTACCCTGCGCGCCGCATCCGGCCCGCGAAGCCTTTTTATGTGCCCCGCGAACTAAAACATTTGTTGTCATTTTTTGCAGACAATTTTCGTGAAAAATCTATATGGGTTTAAAATTCTTTTCTTTCGTTAAGAGGAACCTAATTTCTTCGTTTCTGTGAAATTTAACATACCAACGGCGCAAAAAAATTTATTTCTCAGGTTTTGCATCGAAGAAAATATTCAAATACAAAAATAATAGTGTATGTTGCATAAAAATCTACTTCTAATTTTAATTTCTAATTCAATACGTTAGTTTTGTACAACTTGATAGAAGTCGGACAGTAATATTTAATGTTCTTTCAAACATAAAAGAGTCTGATATAAAATTTTGATAAGGTTGAGGCCCGCCATTTAACTGGTATTTTTAATTACGGCCCCCGGCCTCATGTAAGTTGGAAACCCCTGATCTAAAAAATATCTCAATTAGTTTTGCCAGAAGAATGGTCGAAAATGAAATCCCTTAATGTTAATTTTCTTTTTTCAGTATTTTGCCAGTTCTTAAAAGAACCCCCCAAAAAAATTTTTTCTCAGAGTTATAAAATTCGTTTGTTTTGAAACTATTCATAACAAAATAATCATCATTTTTTAATTATTTGTTTTAATAAAGCTTTGTCATGAAAAAAATAAAAATAATTTAAAGATTTTTTTCCTGTAATTATCTTTGGATGAACAAGTAGCATAATTGCATGGAAAAAAAATTCAAGATTCGAACTTTCAAACAAACAAAACCATTGGGACCATATTTTACAGTAAATGGCCATATTTTGTAGTTCAAAAATCATACAAAAAGTTTAATTTTCCAAGAAAGTAGTTTTTATACCTGATTTCATAACTTGACGCATCAACTGTGTAAATTATCACTGAAGATGTGTGATTTGTACTGGAGATGAGTACGAACTCGCCATTGGAGAGTTGAGCCCGAAGAATTTTAATCCGAGTCCACTCGAGAACGATATACAATTGATAACTTAATAGAGTCTGAGTCAATCCTCACAAAACAAAGGCCCCAAATACAAGTAGCAGATCGCAGTAATTTTTTTATGCTTTATTAAGTTTTGCATTTTTTATACTTAACTGAGTCTAACCTTTAATTAAAAGTGATAAAAAAAAACTTTACTGTTTGTAAAGATCATCTACTGTTTGTTGCAATGCCTTCTCTGACGTAAGGCTATTTCATTCTGCTATGCTTGTTATTTAAAACATAGTGCGATTTCTGTTCTACAGCTTTTCTTTTTCAAACTTAGAATACCAGTTTTTTCGCCTGAGAAACTGCCTTCTTCATTTAAAAATCAAATAGAAACTTAAAAGGTATTGTTTTGTATGGACTTATCTAAATGAAAAGTTATAATTTTGCTAACAAAATGTTGCCTGACTTAAATATGACTTGCTCTAAATTGTGTTATACAATGTGCGAATAATGCATTGTTAAGACAAAATAATTAAAGTATATATATATATATAACGTCGTTGCCGAGTGGAAGGATTAAAACAGGTCATAGGTCGGGAAGGAGGGTACAAAATTTATTTATTAATTATTAGACAACAGCAGTCATGAGAGTGAGTAAAGGTGAACACGAAAAGTTGTGCTCCTTGGTTATATGTTAGGGAAAATCTTGCAAAGTAAAATCCGTAAAATGTCTTAATTTAGGGAAAGAGGGAAATCTTAGTAGTTGCTATTGATCATTTTCCTATCTGTATGCTGGAATTAAAGTTCAGAAATAAAGAAACGATTTGTTTATGGAAATTACTGAGCTAGAACAGAGCTATGAACTAATTACCAACGTTGGACTAAAGCATTAATGTCTGGTTGTACTTCAATTTAAATTCTAACAACAAGTATTTTATTCATTTTTCCAAACTATTTGTGTGAGTTTTAACATTTCTTGATTTAATTTTTGCCACACCGTAATTGCATTCATATATTCAAATTGAATTTCAATAATTATTGCAGTTGCATTACGAAGAGAAAAAAATTTAAATGGCATTTTTATCTTACCCCTACACACTATAGTGAAACAGAAATATAAATTCTACTAACCAAAAATTCATAGAAGCTGTAACACATAAAACAATAAATTTGAAAAGAATTTCTCGAAACATTTCTTATGACAATCAATTCACTAAAAATAAAAATTTCATCAGTAAATACGATTAATGTATAAAAAATAATTTTTCAATTGAAACATCAAGAATGAGAAAAAAATTTAAAATAATAATCAATAAAAATTCAAGAAATTGTTTTATGAGAATTGTAAAAAAATTACAATTCTCATAAAAAAAAAAAACACAAAGGGATACATGAAAAAGTTCGAATTAGTCTTAGGAGATATTTTGAAAACTGCAACCTCAGAGATGAAAGTGCGTTGAAATTCCATGAACAAAATTCCAAAAGCTAAGACGAGAGCTGCTGGGGAAAAAATTTGTTTTCGTTAAGATGAATCGTAAATTAACACTGAATGGAGAAATTGAAGCTTATTTTTCTTTGAGTTCTGAGTAGGTGGGAGGGAATGTCGAACATCTAAGGAGCCCATCGTAAACCATTCCGGGGTGTGAAAACAATTCATCGACGATAAAATCCAGCTCAGCACTTAAGAGTGGCCAAATCAACGCTTTCTCAAAGGGATAGGGTTTCAATAAAAACATTTTAGTTATCAGGAGTTCGATGCAGTTTTTCTTTTCAGTCCAAGGAAGGAAATTGAAGCTCAGCTTTCTAGTAGTCTCAGTAACGTAGACAAAATATGCAGCATAGACATATGGAAAACCGATGATCGTTTAGTTCCACTGGGCGTAGGTATCATTTATAATAAACAAAAAGTTTGAAGAGTTTATTTTTTGTAGAAGATACTGGGTGAATTATTAATTGCCATTAGTTGTAGAAGAATTTGACTGCTTATTTACCAGCTGTTCATTTGAATAAATGATTTGAAGTTATTCCATATTTTTGATGTACCTTCTTCCGAAGTTGATTTATTTAATTTCAAATGAGATATTTAATATCTTTAATGTACCGTACGTACTGTACCCCTTCCCGACCGTTTAATCCTGACGACTTATAACGTCGTTGCCGAGTGGAAGGATTAAAACAGGTCTTAGATCGGGAAAGAGGGTACAAAATTTATTTATTAATTATTAGACAACAGCAGTCATGAGAATGAGTAAAAGTTAACACGAAAAGTTGTGCTCCTTGGTTATATGTTAGGGAAAATCTTGCAAAGTAAAATCCGTAAAATGTCTTAATTTAGGGAAAGAGGGAAATCTTAGTAGTTGCTATTGATTTATGAAATAGATCGAGCATTTCCCACACAGAGCAAAGGGAAAAATGTCCTGCTTTTAATTAAATGCATTATTGTGCCAAAAATAGATTTAAGAACAGGATGTGGCTTTTAAAAGTGTGAGAAAGTATTTCGATTAGAATAATAATAAGGCTGAAGTTTTATAGCAAAGAAACTAACATAAAAAGATTAATTGAAGCTTTTTATGTTATATATATATATATATGTGTGTGTGTGTGTGCGTAAAGCTCTGATTAAGTTCTTCTTTATTAATAGAATATTAATATAACGATAAATAAGTTATCTATAAAAAATTTTAATTTTACGTCGGTATATCACTCATTTTGATATTAAATTTATACTGTGTTATCTTTCATTATTGCAATTTTTTTTTCGGCAGATCGTTTCAAAGAAGAGAAGCAGCTTGGAGGCAAATAGTTTATCAACTCGGAGTTTCACATCTTTGAACTGGAGGCCAATGAAAAATATATCATCATCTGAAACCGATTCTGAGGACAGTTGCAGTGACATTGAGCCAGCCACAGTGGCTAAATGTACTATTGATTCTGTAAAATTTCGCAATCAATTTCATTATTCCAAAAGTCAGCAACAAAAGACTACACAAGAATGGTTGAATGACACTAATGGAAAGTGCATTCCTTCTGATATTAAGCAAAGGCATGGACAAGACAATAAATGTGTTGAATTTGTAGGTAACTCTTGTGAATTCCGTCTCGCGGGCAAATCTAGTTTGTGTTTAAGTTCTGACAATTTAAAGCTAGAAATATTTAACAATCCATCTTTTGTGAATCTGGAATTAATTGGGGGAAAAATGGAAAATAATTTGGAAGATACCAATGTTGAATCAGAAGGTGGAAATTGCAATTTAGAATTATCAGCATCCGCTAATGTTTCAAACAAGAACAACAATCAAGAGGCAACAGAATCTACTGCGTTAAAAAAAGTGGAGACAAACTTACATAACTCGCCCTGTACCGTTAAAAGGAAAGTAGTTAAAAAAGGTAAGCCTAGTAAAATGCAGAATAAACCAGAAACTAAAGTAGAAGTTGGAGAAATGCAAAACTCAGTAATGCGTCAAGCAAAACCTAAACAGCGTCGTAAACGAAGCACACCAAAGAAAGGGATAACACAAAAGGGAATTGAAACACATGCAGAACATCAGTCAGGAAATGAAGAAATATGTTCCAATAACCAAAGCTCAACTTCGTTCCAAAACAACAAAACTCATTATGCGCCATCGACTTTGATGAGAGCTAACTTACCAGACTATTCTGATTTGACAGGAATCGCTAAGCCAAATACTGTTTACGAAGGTGAAAACCACCAACTAGACGCAATCGAATCTGATTCTTTCGCAATCACAGGAGAGCCAATTGTTTTAGATGAGGAAAACAGGGATTTAGCTGCAGCTAGAGATATTTCTAACAGCATGGAAAGTTTAGTTGACTCACTTTGTAACTTCCATTTCTCAGACAGCAGAGAGATAGTTGCAATAAATGAAAATGACGAATTCAGTTTTCAAAGCAAGAATCTTAAGATGACTTTTCAGCCCAATTCAGATATGGACAACTTCAAGTTTTGTTATGAACGCTCGTTTTCAAAATCTGAATTGGAGTTCGAAGTTAATGAGAAAAAACTATTTTTGGAAATTGGACATAACTGAGTTCATTCAATCCTGTATTTTGAATGTTATTTTGGCTTTTCATTTTTTAATAAGAATTACTGAATTTTTTTTTTCTTTTCTTAAACTTTATTATTTTCCCTTAATATATTACAAAATATCTTTAAGATATACCACCTTCTCTGCGGTACTTATATTTATATCAAGTCTTTGAAAATAAATAATTTGTTAGAGTTATTAAATTTTTATGAAAACATTTATGAAGCGTTTAAAAAAATTAAAAAGATTTCCCAAGTACCAAGAATAATTTTAATTAAGTGATGCATCAAATGATTTTGTGGCATTGAGTGTGATTCTAGCCAACTGATTATTTCAGTGTTACAATTAGGTAATTATGCGTTAATCGCCCATCGGATAATTTATTTGTGCTAATTTAAGTTTGGTTTAAAATTTCCAAAGGTATTAAGCTAATTTATTCTGGTCTCTGAAATCGTAATTGATCTTTTAGCCTATTTCTGTTGTATAGATTCCTGTTGCAATAAATTATTTTGCCAATAAATAACTACTTGCCAATAAATTATTTTTTGTATACGATAAATCCAGTAGGCAAATTGAGCCATTAAAATACCAAAATCGCGGTGTAACAGGAAGAGCATGAGATAGTAAAATAGCTGCTACTTTTCATTTTTAAATTTAATATATTTAAAAATAATGCTTTTAAATTATCTTTAATAACCTTTTAAGTAAAATTTCATAATTCTAATTAAAAAGTGATTGAGCATTTTGATGTCTTGATTCTAAAATTTTCCTTGTTTCGAAAGTATTTTGATTGTTTGTTTGTTTGATGTATGTTTTTGGATCTAATTTCCATTTTTTGGATTTTTGATTTTATTCTCATTTATTCCCTGTGTCTGTTATAAGTATAAATATCAGGCATTCACAAAAGTTGTGACGTTTTTGTCAGGGAGGGAAAAAAACACCTGATAATTTCATGTAAAAGCATTTTATACAGCGAAATCAGCTTCAATTATACGTGTCCAACCATATAATACTCGTACAAGCTTGCAAATTCTGCTTTTTTTAATGTACTGGCAACAAAAACAGTCTACGTGGTATTAACATGGTTTTGAAACTGTTTTTCATTCAAATGACTAAATACAAATGATATTCTAGTAGTGTATATCGGGAGAGTAATGAAAACATTAAATTCAAAATTTCCCAACCAATGTATTAATAATCCGTATGGTGTCATTCTTCTTAACCCTTTGATACTGAAATTTCATCAAACATATTTTTCATACTTTTTTCATTGTTTTGTATTAATTTAAAACAAAAGAGGTGAAAAATTTTATATTTGGCGTTTTAATAATTATTTGCTACGAAATACAGCATAAAACGCCGCTTCATTTTCTGACTATCCCAAACAATTAAAAAAAAACTAAAAGAAATAGCTATTCACCAGAGAAATTTATCCAATTTACAAAATCAGTTATTGTTAATTTTTGAAATATGAATGGAAAAAAATTTTTTTTAAACTACTTTTTCTTATTTTATATTTTAGTACAAATATGACTCCCATTATATAAAAGATATTTTTTAGTAAGACTGTTTTTTCTATTTAAAAAATAACAAAATATGTTTTTGGCTTTTAATTAGAGAGTCAGAAAAAAAATATATTAAAGGAACATCGGTGTCCCATCAGAGTCAAAGGATCAAGATCTGACCAATGGGGTGAATGGCGATAATTATGCCAGTTTTAGCTTTTTAATGTATTTAATGCAAGCTCTGGTCCACCAAAAACGAATCGGAACATACTCTTTTGGTCACGTGATATATGGTTTGTTAAGAGTTACGTTAATTGTAAATTTTTTCCCAGTGTTTTCTGTAAAGAATTGGCATGCATTCGAATAAAAAGTTAATTTATCTTGAAACATGACCAAGGTACGTACGCACTTCGAAAAAACGCTTAGTAATATTAGTATGAAAATTTGTATTTTATTGTGTTTGTAACTATTATAATATTTAATTATATTTAGATCCAACAAAATTCAAAAGATTTACATTTTTAATTCACAATTGAAAGATAAGCTCATTTATAGCTGTTTTATTTCAATGTTGATGTCAGTTTTTAAGTTTTTCCAGGTGCTTACGAACCACAAAACATTTATTTCTGTAATAGTGTAAAATTTTCTTATCCCTAAGAATGTCTATGTCTGAAGTAACATTCTGTAAATATTATTCTTAACCTAAAACAATTCATTTGTATTATGTTTTGTTGATTTTTTACTTTAATTTTAGTAACGTTTTTTTTTGTAGTATGGGGCAAACAGTGTTTCAAAATATTTACTTGCTTAAAATAATTGCTATGTTTTTTATACTTAAGTGTGATGTTATTTTTCATTTTAAATATTTTTTTAAATAAAAAATAATTTTCTGTAATTATTATTCTTAACCTAAAAGATTTAATTTGTATTATGATGTTCTGTTGATTTTTTACTTTAGTTTTAGTAGTGATGTGTTTTTTTATCTTGGAAATGAAGTTAATTTTTTTTTTCAGTATGGTCCAGTGTTTTGTTAAAATAATTGCTTGCGTAAAATAATTGCTATGTTATTTTATACTTAAGTGTGATGTTATTTTTTATCAGCTTTAAATATTTTTTGTAAGTGAACTGCAAAAATATTTCTTTCAAAATCGAGTATGGTTTATAAAATGCAAGTGATTTCTTATATGAAAACTAACTTCAAATACAAAAATAAAATAATTTTTCGTAATAATTTCTATCATTTATATTTAGCATACACTTAATTATTTTTGTTTTATCCCCCCATGATAGCTCTATCGCTTTTATGTATTTGAAATTTTCATTGCTGGTGGTCGATATTTTAGCCAACACAAAGTAATAATATTTCAATAAATGAGGTGAACACATTAATCAACTCCATTTTTTTAGAAATATATCGTACCAGGCTCTTGTGAGTCCAATTCTTGAATATGGCTATCCTGTCTACTGCTGTGCTTCTCAATCTAACTTAAACAAATTGGAAAAGGTTCAACTGACCGCCGCTCGCATCATCACTGGATTGAAACGTAGCTGCCCTTCAGAGATCGTTCTTTACGAAGCAGATCTGCAACCTCTTAACTTCAGAAGGCAAGCTAATTTAGTGAAATATTACAATAAACTTTCCAGTTTAGACCAAGGCAATTTAACTGCTATTTACCTAAATAATTGGACCTGCAATCAAAGGCTAAAGAAAAACAGTCCTTTTAGTCATGTTAAATCACAACTGTTAATCGCTGAAAATATTGAACCTCTTTATCTTCATAGCAATCTTAGTACTTGCTTGGATCTTTCCAATGTTAGTTTCCATGAAAGCCTCCCTACCATGCTTGACAAGAAAGACTGTGTGCCTGACTTCCTCAGACAATTGTCCCTGGAAATCATCAATAAAATCCCTCCAAACGACATCAAAATATTCTCTGATGGCAGTAAAATGGATAGACAGACTGGCAGTGGGGTATTTATTGAAACACCTCGAGAGAACTACACTCTTCATCAACGAAACCCCGATTTTTGCTCCGTCTTTCGAAGCGAACTAATTGCAATCGACAGGGGACTAGAGAAAATCTTGAGTGAAGGGCACCTTGGAAATACTTGGATACTATCTGACAGCCGTAGTTCAATTCAACACCTCAAAAATTGGGCCCTCATTGGAGATAAAACCAGTTTTTCGATCTTACAAAAAGTAAAGCTCATTTCCCAACAGCATGAGGTCCACTTTCAATGGATCCCGTCCCACGTCGATATCCACGGCAACGAGTTGGCTGACACTCTTGCAAAGAAGGGACTAGACCATCCAGTCCCCTCCACCTCAGAGCTTACATACCTTGAACTTTTTGCAAGGCAAAAGGCCCAGAACAAACAAAAGTGGCTGCTTCCACCTATTCACTACTGGTATAAAGCAAAAAGACCAGGACTCTCTCTATCTCTCCCTGGTGACAGGCAAACCAACACCTGCTTATCCCGACTGGCCAGTGGACACCTGAAAAGTCTCACATTTTCTGCAAATCAAAAGATCTTTCCTCTTTGCCCTAAATGCCAACAAAACCAGGCATCACCTGAGCACATCTTGATCTGTTTAGGGCTGGATTGGACGAACAGATGGGAATTAGCAACAACAACAACAGAAATATATCGTACATTTAAATGCCAAAGAACTTGGCTCATTTACAGCTTTTTATATTTGCATATAATCTACCTATCTGTATTCTGAGCGCCAGCTGGCACATGCGGCCCAAATCGCTTTTTTTCAGGCACTCGGTCCTATTGCCTCCTCCCATCCATTTAGTTTTGCTCTGCACATGTATCTTGTGCATGTATCTTTGCCAAGTAAGTTCCGACCGGCCGCACAACAGGAAACACTCACGCTTTAGGCACTGCTTGTCGCGTTAGAGAATAAACGCTTTGAAAACCGCAAATATGGTAATCCTACCTATTAATGCGTCGCACCTTATCTTAAGCAGCTTGCGTTTCGATAGTCTTGGAGGAGAAATGGTTAATTTGGATTGAGAAGCTATTTTATTTGTGTTAAAAAAAATTTCCTGTCCGAAAAACAGTTTAAAATTTAATCGAACTTAAAATTTATCTGATTTCTAGAAATAGAATCAGAAAACGAAAGTCGCTGAATTTTCTAGAATCGGTCAAATTTTTTTAGGATCGTAATGAATTTTTTATTTTGAAAAATGCAGAGCTGTTTATTGTGAAAGATGTATTAAAGACTTAAATATTTTTCTTTAATATCTGTATACGACTTCATAATATTATCAAAACAGTTTTAAATATTCCTATTCTAGTTTAATTAAGTGATTGAATTTCCAAGGTAGTATTTAATACCTCATTTTTATATGAGAGAGCAACGACTTGAAGAAAAAATTGACGTGTTTCTTATGAAACTAAAAATATATCGTTTACTTCAATGTTTTATGTAAAATAGCATAGAAGAAGTCACTTTTTTTTATAATAATGCAAAGAATTTTAAAAATATTACTATCATATTTTACAGGTACAATTAAATGGAAAAATTACATATTAACCATAGTCTCAACTACAAAGGTCATATTGTATTCACAATGCATGGTAATTTTCAATTCACTACTAAATACTTTTAAGTATGATTGTTCTAAGTAACTTTCAGGTAATATGGTAAAGAGATTTCAAAATAAATATGTTTAATATAGATTTTATTTTTGCATACTACTAGTTTAACTTCATGAAGTAGACCTACGAATTCACTAACTGCTGCACTTTTTTTTTACTAAATACTGAATTTTTATTTACAAATTACAGAATAATTATGAACAATTTAATAAATTGGTAGGCGTGGTAGATTTATTACGAAGCAATTGTGAGACTTATTTTTAGTTTCTTTCATTTCTAAAAGAAATACCAAGTAATTTTCAACTATTTTATTAGTTGGTTTAAATTTGGTATTAATTTTAGTGGGTTTCATTATGAAAATACATATAAAACGAGAAACTGAGCTAGAAAAGGATTCAATTTTCATTTACATTGAGCTATAGGAAAACAGGTTTTGATATCGGAAAATTTCAAATTCTCAATTACAGCGTCAAATATGGCATTTATTAGATTTTTTTAAACCATTTTAGAACATACAGGAGTATCTCTAGATTGCTATAAAACACAGAATTGTTAAACTATGCAATGTTTGAATCAAATTGAATAATATACAATTGTATTTTTTCTTATAACGATTTTCCTCAGAATATTTAAATATTATTTTAATAAGCTTTTACATAGTATTACAATTAATACTGAACTAAATTATCTATACCTATGTACTTTGTAATCTTTTGACAATTGATGCAAATTATATACAATTTTTGCATTTCTAATGTTCATTAGCAATAGAGTCTATGCTGGCTAATATTTGGAAGGAATTAATAACGTTTTTTAAAACCTACAAAGTAAGTTAATATACTCTTATTTACACTTCACATAGAAGCAAGCTAAAACTGCCACCAGATTTTACTGAATTAATGCATTTGGCTAATCCATGACTTAAATTATATAAATTATTCAAAAAGAATAATATGACCTCAATTTATCAAATTCTAACACTTTATAAAAAATTGCGGGAAGTAATTCTGTATTTTTTTCATTCTGAATTCTTCAACACAAAGATAATGTTCATACAATTCAAATTTTGAGTTTTAAATGCTATTTTAATGAGTAATTATAAATTCAAATGAAACATGAAGATTTAATGAGAGATGAGAAATCCGTTTTCTTGAGAAAAATCTAGAATAAGATTAAGCAAAGTAAAAACATAAATTTAAACTCGGGGAATGCGCTAAAATTAACAATTTAGTTTAACATCTTGTATATAGATGTTTAACTTGACACCCAATATTAAAATCAACGAAAATAAAGATAAGTAGATAAATTATGGGATATTATTCCTTTCCTTCCGTCAAGAACCAAGAATATAATAATGAGCATAATAATGTAAACACAAACTTCTATATGCAAAAGTTCTAAACAATGTTTAGGTCAACACAAATTTTTCAACTCATGTCATCTACTTCAACATTTTAGTAAAACATCAAAACAATCCGGAGGTTATAAACAAGTTATTTATATCTAGAATTTCAGTAAAGGCAAAGTACTTGATAGATTTCTACATTTTATTGAAGAAATAAAAAATTATCTTGCAGCCAAAAATCAAACATGTTTAAAACTAAGAGATCCTCTTTGGCTAACAGATTTGTCTTTCATAACTGGCATAATGGAAAAACTAAATAATTTAAACTTGGAGCTGCTGGGAAAGAATAAACATATAGCAAAATGTTAGGGGCTATAAACTCATTCAGAGCTAAGCTGGTTATGTGGATATCATATTTGTGCATTTTCCAATCATGAAAAGAATGATAGGTGACAGTGAAATTGACTTATCAACATTTGTCATCAACCTCCAATTGTTTCCAGATCAATTTGAAAAGAGTTTTCAGCAATGTAATATCATCGAGCATATATCAAGATATAGGTCCCGACTTACAGATGAATACCTTGATGATTGCTTGCGAGCAGGAATTTAATCATATTCTCCCAATTCTGAAGCGCTGACCAGTGAAATGCAATGCCAAAGACCACATTGACTGTATTTTATAAATAATTTTTATACTTTGTATGTTTTTAAAGCAATTTGGTAATCATATATTTTACACAAGAATATTAATACTAATTGCATTTATATGTTAAATTAATTTTTCGTGCACCATATGTAGTGTGTATTATTACCTATATCTATCAACTATAAATTTATCTTGAAAAAATAAATGGTACCCGCCATTCGACAGATATTCTGGTATTTGCTCTTAGGTACAAAAAGGTTGGGGACCTTATATGTCCTGATCTATAGTGTTTTATTGATCTTTTTCGTACTAGGGACAGAAGTTACACAAAAGTTGAAGACACATACAAAATGATCTGTAGAACAAAATATGCAAATTATTCTAAGTATATTGATCATAATCTTCAAGTAGATAGTCATAATATATCAATATGTAAGCATTTATCTCTATAATACTTTCATATTAAAGTTAATTATCAAAAAGTTATGAAATGTATGTTGGGAACAAGGTTCAGTAATGACATTTTCCCTATATTTAATTTTTGAAAAAAAAAAAAAAAAAAAAAAAAAAAAAAAAACCTAAATACAAAGTGCGTCTGATGAATTTTTTTTTACTACTTGCAAGTATTTTAAGCAAAAAATATCAATAATGAAAATAAATATTTTAATGAGGAACATTGCTCCGAAGGAAGTAAAAGTTAAAGAATTGAGAGAATAAATAATTTAAGTCAATAATATTTTTTTTACAAAAGCATATACATTTAGAGAGTCTCTAAACCACTGGTAACCATTTGGCGGCCCGCGAAGCTTTTTTTTCTTGTGGCTCGCGAACTGAAATATATTTGTTGTCATTTTTCAGCGGACAATTTTCGTAAAAAATCTGTAGAAGTTTTAAATACTTTTAAGTTATACGTCTTAACAATTTGATATCTGTTGCACATTAATTGTTTAATACGTAGGTGCACATTAAAGTAATTGTAGCCATAATTTTTTAATATACAATTAAATATTTTTAAAAATATATTTATTATTTTAATTTGTAATTTAATACTTTTGTTTTGTACAACTTGATAAAAATCTGACAGTAATACAGTACACTCTCGATTATCCGTGTGCGGATTATCCGTGCTCATTCCGGAGTCACACAAAAAATATAAAGAGAAACATTTTCAAGATTAAAAAAATTTGATTCATGAAGTTATAACACTACCAAATTTTTGGAAGCAATATTCGTTATTGGATTGCAGTATATGGAATATCAGCAGCATGGTCAAAGGTAAAATTGTCTTGATCTTGAAGAAAGATCATACCGCTTGATGAACAATCCTCTTCAGATGTTCAAGAAAAATATAACAGTATTCTCGAACAAGCCAAAAGAAATCTAAGGTTTCGAAATTCTTGATGAAGAAAATTTAGAAGATTGGTTTTAAAGTGATGCACGTGAGCCTGACTTCCAGTATTTGACTGATGAAGACATCGTTATGTTGTTAAATCAAATAGTAATGATAGTAACTGGTGCAGAAGATGTAGTAAATGAATGAAATACAATTTCTCATTCTGCTGCTCTGTGGAAACTTTATTAGATTATATGGGAGGATTTGATTACAGTGACATTACTGCGGTTCGTAAAATTTGTGTATCGATATATGGCGAAGACGCATTACACATTTTTTTATAAGAAAAATTCCTAGTTTGATGTTATGCATGCAAATGTCAGTAATTTTTATATTGTTTGTACTGATATTGAATAAAAGGAGTTTTCGGATTATCCGTGTTTTTCGATTGTCCATGCGACCTGTCCCGGTAATTATCCCGGATAATCGGAAGTGCACTGTATTTAATGTTCCTTCAAACATAAAAGAGTTCTATATAAAATTTTGATAAAGTTACGGCCCGCCATTTGACTGGTGCTGTTAATTGCTGACCCCGGCCTCATGTAAGTTGGAAATCCCTGCTCTATATATATTTAACGTGTATTTTAGAGAGTCTCCTTTTCGAAAAACTGTGAACGAAATGCCTTAGTTAACATTTAAACAAATGTATAGAAATACATATAAAATATCTTCATGAATTGGTTTAGTAAATAAATTACTAAAATTAAAAATAAACAAACATGAAGAACAATAATTTTGTAAGTAACGCTAATTTTTAAAGCTCTTTTTTACATAAATTTTGTATAAAATATCAATGCAGGTCCAGAATTATCCTAATAATTACGATACAACAGACTTTAAATAAAAAAAAAATAGGTGGTATGTTGCATATATTCTCTTTTAAAATCATCAACTTAAGCGAAATACACTTATTTAAGGTGTTTTATATTGCAAGAATAAATGCTCCCATAGCAAAACTAAAACGAAAATGAGATAAGTTATCAAGCGATTGTTTAAGTTTATCGAGTAATAAAGTATCGCTAATAAAATAAAATAGCATGAAGTTGAAATTAATCACAAAGCTAGAAACAAAAAAAAGCAGTTTTTATCTCAATTGAATTATGGTTTATTCTGTTGAATAGTTAATGATTTGTCGTGTGTATGGTCCAACTCATAGTTTTAGGTGATTTAATTCTAAGTTGTGAGTATTGATTTCAATTATTTTCTAGTTACAGACGATAGTTTAACTTTAAATTTACTTTCTAAAAAATTTCGAGATTAAAATGAAATTACTTGCAAGTAAAAATCGACACAAAGCTGACCGAAAAACAGTCTTGTCTAGAAAAAAATTATAGTATATTGATTGATACAGTTTTAAACATTAATAAAGTCATCTATTCTAAGAATAAGCTTAGCATCTCTTCTCAATCATGTTTTTTCCGATGAAAATTTATTATTTTTTTTATCCATTTACCTAAATATTTTCCCGATTATTTTATTTTTAATCTAATATTCTAAAATGTTGCATTTAAAATTAAAAACATATCAATTTCATTTTTGTAAGAATTATTAAATGTCAGTTTTCTTAAAAACTAGATAAAAACGTGTAATATTCAACGTAATAAATTAATTATAAAAGGTTTTTGCATAGAGCCATTTTACCAATGCCATTTTACCCATGAAGAATACGATTATTTCTCTACATTAAAATTACATGTTTAGTAGTTGTTGTTTTTTTTTTTTTCACAGAGGAAAAAAGCTTCCTAATCTTATTCAAACCTAACATACTGATACTTTGAAACATTCAAACCAACACATGTTGTATACCCCCAAGAAAATTAAACTAATATTAAGTTCTATTTTTTACAGATTAGTAATGATATGAAAATTCGAAAAATTAGCAGCCAAATTAAATTGATAACACTTTCGGAATTATTAATATGCTGTATGACATCATCGCATCACAACTAAATGTAAATCAGAGAAGAAATTAATAAAATTACATCTATGCTGGAAAAGTTAGGAATGATGAACTTTTTGAAATGAATTACTTAAAACCTGAATAAATAATGGCATTTCAAAAATATATTGTTTGTATTAAAACCTCAAATATTGGGGATAATTTAACTGAAACTGGGATTTAAGGAGAATTAAAACCACAAACACTCTCGAAAGGAAAGAAAAAGCCATGATTTCAATTATTTTTCATGCTTAGTTGAATAAATTTCTTTTCTTAGTAAACAGATATATCAACTATTATGAATGTAAAACTTATTTGTGCCTATATATAATTTTATAAAACCCTAAAAAAAAATAGCCATTGAATTTTCAATAAAATTCATTAATTCCCCTGGATGGGTATTCATAATAACCAAATAGATATTTATGAATTTCGGGTATTTACCTGGGTTGGGTAAATGTCATAAAAACCGGGATATTTTATATCTGTAACTAGTGTGAACAAAATTCAACTTGATCTCTGAGCCTATTGACAATACAAGTAAAATTAGTTCCCTTATGTATGCAAGCACGAATCTTGACCTTGATATATGGGTGATTCTCACGAAACATGACAATTCGGACCAAAAAATTTCTTCAAATTTAAAGTCTTCAAAATAATCTAAAATATTTTTTGTATACTTCTTTAGCTGCACTTATAGACAGCAGTGTAGTTTATTGACATTTGCTCGAGAAGAAAAATAAAATAGAAATTCACCAAATCTTGAATGCCAGGAAAATGACATATTACCTTAGAAGTTTAAAAAACAGTAATTTTAAGTTAATTGTAAGTAACTCAACTGAAGCCTTTATGTTAGATGGACCATAAATTGCTTAAAATAATTCTTTTTATCCACTGTAGAAAGAAACAAAAAATGTTTTGCTGCTGATATGTACAGAATAAAATTGTGTATAATAATCAATCATTAAATAAATAAATAACTTTGATTACATCCAAGCATATTACAATCATACATAAACCTTGTAATTAGGTTAATATTTGCTTTCCCTCTTTACAGTATTAGCAGTTAAAAAGAATTTCTGGTAACACTTCATTGTCCTGGCATTCATAAACCAGGATAATGACAAATTCGCCATTTTATAGCATATAACTTTACTTTAATTTAATATTTTGGTCGAAGACGTTTGTATTCTGCAGAAAACAACAGTATTTCTTAAAATAATTCAGATAAATCTATGTAGTTTTTGTTATTAATGATTTCAAGAAGCCAGGAAAATGACAGCATAAAAACCTACTCACCTTGAAAAAATTTTTGAAATAGATTTTGAGCCAGAAAATTGGTTCTTTATTCATGCAACAAGACATGTTCAGATAGAAGGGTATCTAATCAATCTATTAACATAAGATATTAATTCCTGGCTCTATTTATTTTGGTTATAAATCACTAAATAAAAGTAGCCAGGAAAATGACAGATTTTCATGGGACAAACAAATTATTGACAGAAAACGTTTTTTTAAACGAAGTTTTAGTTAACAATACCCTCTGCCAGGACTCGAAAAACCACCCGTCCGCCCGTTCTCTGCGGTCAAAAATTACCCGAGGACAACGAATTTCTCGAATCCGACGTCCGCGCGGACGGCTATTTTCCCATTAATGTTGATGATACATTTTCAATCTTTGTTATCTTACAAGAGTCTAGCGCCTCACTTCTAAAATGACCCTCTAATCTAGAAATACAGCAACATACTGTGCATGGTGGAATTGATGATTTCTCTGTCTCTCGTACTGCAGCGATTGAAAGGGACTTTTCAGCAATGAACTTACAAAAAAAAAAGAAGAAAAAAACATTACGTATTGGTCTTAAACAAGAAGCGTTAAACGCAATTATGAACATCTACCTAAATGGAAAACCCCTTTCAGATTTTTGTGCATAAACCTCTGTAAATCATTAGCTTGATCGTGGAACTGGCAAACGTCATATTTGATTCATTTAAAAAACGCAACGCAGTACCTTCGGATAAATTGACATTCCAGATAACTTGACATTTGTCATTTAAATTATTTCATAAAAGAAATAAATTATTTCATAATAGAAATACTAGGTTTTACTATTAGTAACCTAGTATTTCTTTTATTACTGTATAACGTAATCCTAGTATTTGTAATCCTAGTAACTACTAATTCATTGTGCAATTTATATAAATGTTTGTAATAAGTAAGAGAAAATTATATTTTTATTTATTTAGAAGCGACGGGTTAGTTTCAAAAGAGGACGGGTACATTTTTGGACAAGCCGTCCTCGGGGACGGGTGAAATTTTTGAGTTTTTTCGAGCGTACCCTCTGCGTATATTCTAGAAATGCTTACGTAGGATAAGATAAAAAAAATTAGATTTTGAAAAATGTATGGGAAGTTTTGAAGCTAGTTATTATTGGAAATATTGTTTGGGACATGCCAGGAAAATGACATTTTGATATTCAATTAAATTTTTTAAGAATACAAAGCAGCCAATGCTAGTGCAAAGTCATTTTAAAATGCTAACAGCAATGCTATTTATTAATTTTTTTTAAAAAAAGAAGTTCTTTTAGTATTAGATCTTGGAGCAAGGGACAGTGAATTGTCATGTTTCGTGAGAATCACCCATATATATATATTATCATCCTGGTTTTTGGCTGTTTTGCTAAATTTTTGATGATTTAAATAAAATTTTGTCAGTTATCTTGTCAAAAACCAGGTTTTTGACGTCAAAAATCCAACTCACACAGTTGGATCATAATTCCACTGTCACAACCAAGTTGTTGACAGAGGAATTATGATCCACTTTGCACTCAATTGTTTATCTTTTCTTAAAAAACTTAAAGTTGATGTCTTTAACCAAAATAATGTTATATCAGCAAGAAATAAGTAAAAAAAAAATTATCGGTGAAATGTCAAATGATAGGGGAAATTGTGATTCTGCAAAATTTTTGGCAATTTCAGGTTTTAGTACCAATATATGTATAATCAAATATTATTATTTTTGTTAGTTGAACATCAAATTTTTTTGTTGTTGATAAATCTAAAAGCCCCTGCAAAAGAAAACATGAAATAATGATAAATTATTTGTTGCAGATCGAAATAAAAGAATTCGTTGCACTGTGATAAAAGTTCTGCTAAAATAATTATAAAAATATTCATGCTACTAATAAATATGAATCCCGCGTACTAATTATTTTCAAGAATTACAATGATGGTTGTGTTAAATCTTTTCTTTCTCGAATCAGTATTGTGAAAGCAAAAGGTTTAAGAGTAAGTAGCGCCAAGTCAGTGGGAAAATTTATATCATAGCTAAAAATAGGGTACTGTACTGCATTGCTTTGTTCGCCATAAATGATGCTGAAATAATATAAGTAACTTTTACAAGAATTTCATACTGAAGAAGACGCTATACCATGGGTGAAATTTTTAGTCAAAATTTTTTTTCATCTCCATAACTAATTTAAAGTATAGATAAAAGTGAATTCAGACATACCTAGAGTAAGCCATGAGGTTTCAAATACTGAAAAGGAATTTTTAAAATATCAAAATGAAAACAAATTATGAGAAGATTACGCAATGAAGAAGTTTTCTTCCAATAATTTGTTTGCATTTTGATGCTCTGAATATTTTTTTCAGTAATTGAAACTTCATGGCTTTCTCTAGGTTTGCCTAGACTCACTTTTTCTTTCTTTCAAATTTGGAGGTGAAAGAAAATTTGGGACGCGAAGTTACTCTCATGGCATGACGTCTTCTTCTAATTTTATAGAAGGCTCTCACTTTTCCGATTGAACTGAACTGTTGAAGAGGATGAGACGTGGAGGGAAAATTTTAAATATGCTAAAATCCTCTTTATTTAATTATCACAACTAAACTGATGATGCATATTTAATCTATTTGGCTTAATTTTTCGATACATATAAATTTCAAAGCCGCCAACCCAATCAGAATTTGAGATATGAAGTGTGCCGTATTTTAGATCCTTTTTTAAATTTTTCTGACAAAATTATGCCAATACAATTCTGCTCTCAACAGTTTTTGATAGATAGTTAAATAGTATATATACAGTTGCATGTTGTTAGGTTTTTGATAAGTATCTTTGCTCTTATGCAATTAATGTGTAAAAAAATTTTAGCGTTATTTAAATCGATTTTCATCAGTTTAGACTACTGAAAAATTAGATTTTAAAAAAATAAAAGAAGTTTGAAACATGTCATTTTAAATTATTTACTCAAAACCGCAAATCGCATCATTTTTGCCTTCAAATTAAAAGAAAAAAAAGTTCTAAAAAAGTTTCGAGCGCTATTTCTCTTAATCTAACGAAGCGACCCAGGGCTAAAGAGAATAGAAGGGCTGGTTCACTCCTTTGAAGAAACTCTCGCCGCGCCAATCCTCCGATTTTCTCCAGTGACTTCACTTTGGCGCACAGCTCGCACTTTTACTTCAAGAACGGAGCGTTCGGCCTTACTAGCTCTAACTAATATTGGAGCATTTTTTTTTGCGAGATATTCTAAGACATTTGTTATTTTCTATAATGACTTTCCTCTGTTTTTGCAGTGAATTTACAAGAATTTAAAACTATTATAGAAATGCTAGTTTGCACGATTGCAGCTTGCAAAAATTCTGATAGAAAAACAAAAGGAAAAAATATAATTTTCTGCTTGTTCCCTAAAGCAAATGAGCAACTATGTAAAGAATGGATTCCGAAATGACACAGTTAATATAAAAAAGCAATACGTTTATTCTGTTGTTAAGAGCTTTTATAAAAATTCATTATCTAAATAGAAACGGCCTCGTTACTTCAAAAAGAAAGGCAGGGGGAAAAAATTAAAAAATGGATAAAGTCAAAGAAAATTAAAATGTTAATAAAAAGTATAAATAAAATATATAGTATATAGTTGAAATTCTCCTAATTTCATAACATATTTTTTAATGTAGTTATTCTAAATATTTATGATTTTTTTTAAAAATTATATTCTCT